GGGAAGCTCACACTGAGGTGTAACAGCTGATGCTATTTGTCTGCTGCATGGGAAGGGCTAGCCTCTGTAAGATCATGCAAAGAACCCCCAGTCAGTGGAACAATCTCTTTAAATAGCTAGACTCAGCTAAGGGGAGTGGAAAGAGGAGGAACTTGTGTTTTATTGACTGTGAGAACTGAGCTTATGGAAGAATTTAAAGATAATGTATCCTTTATAGAGGAATTTATAAAGCATATGCAGTCAGCCTAATTTATTTGCTAAGGCATGACTGATGTTTAAATTCATGAATAGTAAATTGGTAAAAGTCAGGGTAACACATTAATTATAACACAGGACTTGAAAACTGTGGCGGTGCTGCAGGCCACAGTAGCCCACAGCTGGAGTCTTTCAGAACTCTTTTGGACAGTCTTGCCAGGCTTCTTCGAAATTCCCAAAGCCACTGAAAGGTATTTACAGGCTTGGGAGTAGATGAGAAAATTACATTGCTCCCAAAAAAGGAAAACAAAGAAATGAGAAACAAGATGCAAACAACAAAAACACACATTTTCTCATTGGCTTTCATACAGGCCTTCAAACCTGGAGAGGTTTGAAGAGTAAGAGTACTGAAAAGAGTACTTGGAGAGTAAGAAACTGAACATTACAGGTTTCAATTCACCAGCATGGACAAAAACCTAACAAACTAAAGATGTTATTTAGAGGTCTGCTTCTGCTAAAGCTGACAAGAGTAACAGGTTGAAGATGAGCCATAACATCAAGATATGCCTTTCCAATGCCAGCTGCTATAATAGGGTATTCATAAGAGCAGGAATTCCTTAAAAGAACTGTCTGCTGAAAAACAGGACAGAGTATTCCTGATTCATTTCATTCCAGAACTGCAATACACATATCTGCATAGATCACTTGCAGTCTGTAATTAATGTTTTATACAGTGAAAAAAGGGATCACTATAAAAATACTGCTCTGTCATTCTTTATCCGTACTATGAAAAAAGCACAGTTTATTATAACAGGAAATAATACTTTATTATAAAATCTGCATGTAAACAAGTAACAAATTAATTGAATAACAGGTAATGGAAGTGCAAATTAACTTCATAAACTGGTATCTGTTCCATATTTAACTATATATATATATATATATAAATATGTTTTCCTTCCATTCTAATGTGGTTCTATTTCCTCCCATCCCACATTTAAATTTAAAAAGATTTATCATTGCTTACTTTATACTAAAAAGAGTGTACGAGCCTGCGTACAAGTTTAAATTTTGCTCTGCAAACGAGGCAAGTCTGTGGTGACACTTATCATCCTTTCTTATCTTTGCATCTCTGGTATCCACAGGACAAGAGGATGTATGCAACATATATACATAGTGAAAATGTGGGCATGTCAAGCCACTTAATTAAAGTTAGTTCATTTACTTGTATATATTGAAACAAACCATTCATCAATGAAGCCAACATTGTAAGGTAACTTCCAGACTTGCTTGTGCACCTTAAGGCAGTAATGAGAGTCTCAATTGATAAGTCATTGTTTTATCACCATGAGGGTCATCCATGTACTTCTCAACAGCCAAATGCTTGTTCACCTCCAACATGGCAACATCTGACCTTGCTGGAAGCTTCTAAAGCACAGATAAGTCATGGCAAGACTTAGATTTTGCTTTGAAAGCCATCTTCTTGTTATTCTTTGCCACAATTCTCCCAAGAAATCGCTTTGCCTTTTTGCCTATGCTTTCTCTTCTTTTTGTGTTGGCCATTCTCCTGGCGTTGTCTTCTTTACTGTCTTTGCGAAGTCTGATTTGCCGAACAATACCTTCAAACAGGTCCTTGACATTATGATGAAGAGCAGCTGAGGTCTCAATGAACTTGCAGTCAAACACAACAGCACAGGCCCGTCCCTCTGAATGGAAAGAAAAGAAGGGAGATGAGTGGAGACTGACATTTTCTCTTCATATGTTCTAGAAGGAAAAAAATGGGTTAGCTTAAAAAGAAAGTGTCTTCAACACCAAAGAGCTTTATTACACAGCAGTAAATTATATTTGCAGTCCTGGTTTTGTCCCCTTACTTTTCACTCTTTTGTTGTGGTGTGTTCAGAAATCTCACTTGACCAGCAATGCTGACTGTAAGGCAAAAATAGCCCTATAGGTAGACCATTCCACTATCATTTAAGATCTGTAGCTGATTTAAGGGAGGGACTTGATGCATGCTTGCTGTTCAATAGGAGAGACAGTGAGGTACAGAAAGAAGAGCTAGTTGCTGCTTCTTGTGGAAGTTATTGAGCAATCAACACCTCAGCCTTGCTGTAAGAAGTGAGAGTCTTCCACATCAGGCACAGATGAAGCTGATGCAGGTCAAAAGGTCAGGTCGGTATATAAATTACAGCAGAGACCATAATGTTGCCAACTAGTGGATTTGATTAGGATGGCATTCAAAATAGACAATGCTGTGTCCCCAGTGTACCAGGGGTAAACATGTAACCCTGGAACATTGCTGCATAGCAAGTTTCCATGTCCACCTCGTGGCCAGTAATGACAAAGCTGCCAGCCTGAGTAAAACAATGTCACTTCTAGGACAGGTGAACTATGCACTGCCACCAGCCTGCAAAGAATGAGAATCTCCTGATGAACTCCAGTCAATTCCCTGAGCAGGCATTTAACACAAGAAGTATGCCAGAACCAGACAGCAAGAAATGGTTCTTCAGCACCAAGACCACTATTCTTCCCAGGGGAAGGAAAAATAAATTTTAAATACATGAAATCAATACTTGGCAGTTGTTATTGTACTCAGTTGCTGAAATGCACAATGGAACAGAAAATTCTCACTGACCACAGCTGTAGATGACATACAAAAAGCCTGTACGAGCCTAGTGTCTCCACCTCACCTCAAACGTGATGGAATCACTTCTAGAGGATAGGGCTGTACTGCCTGCTTCTATGACGTGGCACTCCTGTCCCTTATGTAGGCTATCAAATCTTGAGACTAGCAACTGTGCAGTAAAACTCCACAGCTTCAGCCTTGTAGCTCTGAAGCTGTGTGCTTCCTGTACTGCAGTTCAGAGCCCAGCTCTATGTATGAGTCTTCCCTCACTGTTTTCCATGGTCCCCAGTGTGAACCAGCTGGCTTGATTTCTCTGGTGTGCCTCCAGTCATACATTTTTCTACATCAAACCGGGACCAGCTCTGTTGATTACAATCCTCTGCTGCCTTTGCTAGTAATAATTTAGACTTTCTTATATAAATGAATAGTTTCTTACCATCGACTGAGACTTCCCGAGACCTGACCAGGTCACTCTTATTGCCCACAAGAATAATAGGAATGTCTTCGGTTTGTCTTGCTCTTCTTAGTTGGATCCTTAGTTCGGAGGCTTTTTCAAAACTAACTTTGTCTGTCACTGAATAGACAATGATGTAAGCATCTCCCATCTTCATGCAGTGGTTCTGGAGCCATTGGCTGTCATCCTAAAACAAAAGGAGGCAAATAGATTTACTGCATTGAAAAAGATATTTGACATTGTCTAGTTAACGATTTAAGTATTGTGAACACCTGAAAGATACTTTTGTTAGTTTTATCTATTTACAAACAGCAAAAGTAAACCAGCCTACAAGAAGTTTTCTTAAAATCTTATTGTTTCTAGAAATAATACCAGGTCTGCACCAATCGGATCATCAGTCTCTAATTTTACAGGAATTCCCCAGGGCTGCCAATGTAAGCTTTATTCAAAGCACTGAGGGATTCGCAGCCCAAGCCTAGCCTAGCTTCTAAACTGCTAATCTAGCTACGAGAAATAGTTGCAAGGCAGTATAAAGGCAGCATGGTTTCCTTTCAATGCTATGCATCCGACAATAAGTAGCCAGACAGAGCTGTTCCATCGCTACATGTTTTTGGAGTAAACCGCCGACTAAAGAAAAAGTATCTTCGAGCTGCAAGTACCTGTTCCCAGATATCGAACACCACGAGAGACGCTTCTTCTCCATCGACCATAATCGATCTGTCGTACGTGTTTCCTGGAGGAAAGACAGTGCTCGTTAAAGCGCCGTCACCCCGCGCCCGGCCGCCCACCGCGCCCGTGCCGCTCCGGACTGAGAGGCTCGCACCGCCCGCGCCCTCACCGGCTTCCTCCGCCTCCGCGCCGTCCTCTACGCCGCCGAAGATGCGGGCCAGGCTGGTCTTGCCGACGCCGTGTTCGCCCAGCAGGATCACCTTGTAGAGGCTGCCGTCCGAGTCGCTGCCCGAGGAGATGACGGAGTCGGAGGAGTCGGAGGCCCAGCTCTCCCGGTGCGCCTCGCCGGGGCTGTACGAGGTGCAGCGCACCAGGCCCGACAGCTCGTCCTGCGGCAGGGCGGCCCGCAGGTCCCGCTCGTCCACCGGCATGCTGCGCCGGTGCAGGTGCTGGTGTGCGGAGAAAGGCATGCTGCCGCGCCGCTTGTCCAGGTAGCGCAGCTTGTCTCCGCGGTTCAGAGTCATGGGGACGCCGGGCTGCGAACGTGGAGGAAAGAAGAGCCGTCAGAGCCCCGCGCTCCAGTCCCGCGCTGCCGGGGAGCGCAGCCGGATCCCGCTCGCCTTACCTCGCCGCTCGGAGGGAGGCCGGGAGGGATTCCCCGCGAATGCCGCTGCCGTCGCCGCCTCGCCTCTATTTATGGCTGTGCCGCCCGGCCCTCCCCGCCGTGACGCGCGCCGCGCGGCTGCCTGCCGGCGCCCGTGGGCTGCCGCGTCCGCCCACGGAGCCTCAGCGCGCGGCGAAGCGGCACGGCGCGGCGGGGGCGGGGAGCCCGGCGCGGGGAGCCCCAGAGCGGGCAGGCGCCCCCTCCTCCCCAGGAGGAGCCGCCGGTGCCCTCCGCGACGGGAAGGGAGGGGAACCCTGCGTCGGAGGGAACCCCGGCCGTGCCCGGCCCCGCCCGGGCTTTGCTTTCCCGAGGCTGCGCCGAGGGAAAACTGAACACGGGGCTGGCGATGTACGCGGGCAGGTCTCCTCGGCTCGTGGTGCCCTATGCCGTGGCTCAGGAGCCGTATTGTCTACAGTATTGTTAGGAAGAACGTTTACAAGCGTGCAAAATTGTCATAGCTTCGTGCTTGGATTACTTAATGTTCACGAGAGGGTGAGGGGAGAAGCCCCCGTGCTAGATGCTGTGACGGCACTATACAAACTCTTGCTGCGTGCCGCGTTAACGGTTTCAGAAGCTGATTTAAAACATAAAGGTCAAATTCTTCCCTCTATTTCACCTGAGCAGCAAAAGTGAGGCTGTGAAGGTTTTATCTTAAGTAGCACAGTCATTACCGTGTGATCAAGTGAGGAAAGGGCCGAGCAGATAGCTACGCTGGCGTGCTGAATGGCTCACCGCAGCACCGTGCACACAGTTTATTGTTTTCTTAGCAACCGCGACGCGGTGGACATCTTACAGCCAAAATAGCCCTGGCTTCAGCTCCCAGAAGATTACAGCCTGGTCAGTGCGGGAAAATCCCTGTGACTTGGTGTAGGGACCGTTGCCATCAGATTAGTGAATGCTTAAGGTAATAAATCAGCTGCTGAAATGAGGTTAAAGAAGGCAAGGAGATAGGGAGCTGATGGAAAGTAATAAATGGACGTAGAAATCAGGTAAAGGAAAGAAGGTCTCTGGGCTGAGCTGAGCAGTTGCATGGACAATAAAATCCTACACAGCAACTGAGAAACATCTTTTCCTTATAATGTCCACTTTGTGAGGCTACTCAGCTGCGACAAGAGAAACACATAACTGCTCTAAAGGGTCTGGCTCCAGGAAATAGATGGTTTTTTTCCTATGAAAGCGAGTGAATGTTTTCTTATTTTCAGGAGCTAATTATAACTCCAGTCCATGCTCTTGGGATGGCTTTGACCCCTTTGCCCTGATAACTGCAGTTTAAAGTGTTAATGTGGCAGTTAAAGATCACGGAGTGCTTGCAGCGCTCTCAGCCTGTCCCTCAGAACAGCGCCGAAATAGCCGCGTCAGTTCCAATCGTCGGTCTGGTTGTTAGAAGTGGTGAGTGCTTCAGTGAAATGAACAGAACACATTGCCGTGCTTTACATTTCAAATCATATTTAAACAAATTAGCAATAGCATTTGAAATGCATGTTGGTTACTTAATGTGGATAATCTGAAATCTAGCAAACTGCATCAATTAATCTGTGTTTTTACGCAGCCAAGTGGGTAAATATACTTCCAGAAATGTTTTTTCTTCAGTTAACTTTTAAAAAATTGAATATTTCTGCCAAAAATTCTCACCTGGAAATACTGAGTGGTTTTATGAATTTTTTGGACCAGTCCGTCCTGCTGGCTTCACTGTGTGTCAGGGCCAAATTTTAAAAGCTGGAATATAAAGTGGGGATATTTTATTTCTTTTCTGTGTGTAAGAAGGAAAATCTGGGGGGCATCAGAACTAAAGATACTGTGCTGCTTGTGTCATGTGTAGCATTACTGATTGAAACCTAGCTAAGAAACGAGAGCCATTTTTTATTCCAACTCTTTTGATGAATATCGTGAATGTTTTAATGATGTAAATGCAAGATAGAGCCCTCACAACCAAAACTGAAAATAAAACTAACAAAACAACAAAAAGAACAAGAAAGGCATATGAAAATGCTAAATAAAGACTTTAAAAGAACAGCATTTCAGCAGGAAGAGAGTCTGAAAATAGAAAATACCTTACAAAAATTCAGGACCACGTGGCAAATGTTTTGTTTTGTACCAGCAGCCAGGTACAAGGAATGAATTAATGGTTACAAAATACCATCACAGTTACAGGATACTACTGGGATCTGGCACTGGGTTCTGTGAATCATCCTTCAGCAGAAAGTGAGATGGCCTTGGATTAGGTCCCTGAGGCTTCACTTATTCCTAGAGGGATGACTGCAAGTCATCTGGAGGAGTGCGGTGCCAAGGCGGTTAGGGCTGTTCTCACCGTGTAGAACCAGAGAGGGAGGGATCACAGGGGTCACGTAGCTGCTTTATCTCCCTTGATCCTAATAGATCCAGCTATTTTGTGAAGTTGGAAGGAATTAACAGATAATTCAGGTTCATCACTTGAGACATGTAACATGCTCTTTCACACAGCATGTAATTCTGTTTGTTAATCGCTATTGCTATGTACATATATTCCTGCACACGGTACTGCAGCACGTAATGATTTTGGTGGGATGCATCTGAGACCACACAGACCCAAGATGCTGATTTAAATTTCTTTGATGGACTTTCAGACCCTTTCCTTTATCACCTGCCCTCCATTTCCACTAACACAAGATTCTACTTCTAACAAATAGTAACTAATTTATTTTTATGTAAAAGAAACCCTAATGTCTTGTTTTTCTATTTTTATTTTCCACTGAACTAGCTGCTACTGGCCTAAGGTTTGCTTTAATTAAAGAGTGTTTCTGTCACATACTGTACTTCATATTTTTAGTAAGCCTAGTGTTCATTATATATTGAAATGGAAACAGGAAATTTTACATAGAGCCAGGCCTGGAGTCTATCAGTGCTGAAGGTAAAGGTCTGCTCCAGCCTGCATGGTAGATTGGAAGTACTCCGAATTGAGGTTATCGCTATAGCAGTGCTACCATCTGTGGTTCATGAGTCCCAGGTGGCTCTTGAGCCGTTCAGTGTTTATTCCCTGCAGCAGCCACATCATAGCAAGCAGCAGAGCTGCAGTCAAGGACCACTGTCTATCCAGGTCCTCAGTGTGTGAGGAGGGAATAAGTTTCAATGAAAGCAACAAGCAAATTCTGCTGAGGCCAAAAGCACTGGGTTGTCCTTGGTGCCAGGCACCCAGTTTAATTCCATTCTAACTACCAGAGTGTTGTGGGATCCTGGAGGAACCACTGGAGTCTCTGATTTTTGAATCAATCCAAAATATTCACTTTGTATGTACGCTCTCTAAAAACAGATAACATTTTGCTTCGTTTAGTTTCCCTTCATCCTTGTACAATTTTCATTTTTATTATTTCAATTGCCCTTTATTTAAGGTGCCTTTTCTTTGTTTACTGTTGTTAACTGTCCAGTCTCTTTGTATCCCTCTCCCACGCCTCTCCTCTTTCCTTTCTCCTCATTCTTTCTTCTTCTTCCTTTCCTTTTTTTCCCCATTAATTCTGTAGCTTTTGAGAAGCATTAGTGTGCGTTTTTAGTGCACTCTCTTGGCCTCAGTACTTTTCATCATATGGAAGATGTAAAACATGCAGTTTGATCCTGTAGTTCTAGTTATTTGTTACTGTGATAATAAAGCTTGCGCTTGGTGTTTCTTTTTGCTATGCTAGATGCAGAGTGCATTTTGTCTAAATGACAAGCACGACTTTGCAGGGGGTGCAGTCAGAACACATAAGAACACATAAATTGGTATCTATGCACTTTCCCTTCAGATTTGCAGGTGGAAAAGCAGAATTTTGGAGGAAGAATAAACTGTGATTCTACCTCATCAGTGTTTATTCAAGGTTAAATGCCATGTTATAAACTGCATTTATAATTTTTACATCAAATGATTATTTCCACTGAATTCTAGTTTTTGTTTTAGTTGTTGTCTTACATTGGAATAGTTTCCCAATTGTTATAAATAATAGAAGTATTCTGAAAAGCCCGAAGACTGGATAAGCAGAGTGAGGCTTGGGAAAGTATTGTTCTCAGTTTGGCTCTTTGCTGGAAGCTGTGTGTTTCTCTTCTTCTTACTTTTCAAGTCATCTGCACTGCCTCAAGTCTAATTAATCAGCCGTTATGTGGGTGAAGTTATTTCTACACAAACTGCAGAGATATCCACAAAGGTCTGTTCTTGCCAAGTTACAGGAAGCATTACTCCTGCAGAAGCCTGAGTCTGGCTACCTCCCAAATACCTAGACTAAAAAAGAAATAGCAGCTGTTATTATTATTTTAATTACAGAACTGAGAGACTTAGGCCAGTGGGAGAAGACACAGAAGCAGTGGTAGGAAATGTGGTTTGCATTACTTTTTTAACATAAGCAAGATAAAAACAGCTACAGGGAAATGAAGAAAATACTTTTTCTTTATACTACTCTTTGTACAATAGTGCACACATGGCCTAATTTTTTTTTCTCTGCACATCCCTGTGATTTTACACACACTAATATTGTGTGCTGAACAGATACACATAAGTAGTTCTGTTTGTGTGTTGTATGCATATAAGTATTAGGCCTTTCATGTAGCATATGATATATTGCATTACCTTGCCGTTAATCTGCAGTGGTGCAAAAGTAGACTGCAGTTTGAACTGTACAAATGGTTGTATCAACAGTGGAGCTTTCAGTCTTAGCATTGATTCCTTTGTCTGCAAGCCCAATGAATGCTGCATCTGTACTGAACCTGCATTTACACGTTCCCAAGGCAGGGCCTTCACTTCGGCCAAGGAGCCGTGCTTATTCTCATAATTACTCTTGCATTTAACACAGCTGATGTCTTTTACTGGGTAGAGGTAGCCATGTGCTGGGGCTGCAACAGTGAGATGTGAGAAATGCAAGCTTTGGGGTCAGTGGAAAACAACATAGTGTAGAGAAAGTAAAATTAGAGAGTAAAATTAATCCCAACTTGGTTCCTGTAGCAGAAATGCTGAGTCACAGCCTGAAGCAGTGATTGAGCACCTGGTGGGAAGGCAGGGCCAACCCAGGGGAGCTCAGTGCATGCAGTGCACCTGAGTGACTGGAAGGGATGGAGCCAGGATGCAGCCCTTCCCAGCCCTCATGTAAGAGTTGGCAGTGGGGGGTGAGGGTTTCTTGCTGGAGATCCCTGCCTGAGGCCTTCTGAAGGTAAGCAGATTCTTTCCTTTGTTTCTGTGCCCGCTGTTGAGCAAGTCCTCACTTGCTGCAGCCCAGGACCTTGCTGCTCTGCTGCCATTGCTGAGCTTTCTGTCCTGTTACAATTCCTTTCACAGTTACTTAGTTTCCTTCCAGCTCCAGACCAGAAATTCTAAAGCTCGCCCATCAGCACTACAAAAAAATATGGTATTGTTTGTATTTTTAAATGTAGAAGCATAGAATGGATGAACTTTAAATCTGTTCCTTTTGAAGTAAATACCTCTGTCTTTCTTAAATGAAAGAGTGTAGAAAATAATTTGGGATAGGACTGATTGGAAACGTGCTTTGTGTCCCCGCTGTCCTGAATTTCTCACTGCTTTGAGTAATCTCAAAAGCTTCCAGTACTGTATAATCCTCATGACAGCTGAGCCAGGTGAATCACCCGTCTGAAAAAAAAAGTTGCACAAGTGGCATATCTAATTTCATTTTTCCCTATACAGTTCATAGCCACTTTTTGACAAAGTGCACCACAGTACCAAGAAATTACCCTGTTACAATATACTGGGGAAGAGATGGGCTGTCCGTCCATGGCTGTAATGCTAAATATCTTGTTACAATTCCTGTGAGATGTATACTCTTCAGTGTGGATTTCAGAGACCCCTTTCACAAAATACCTAGAAGTCTGATACTGTGAAAAAGCTTCTGAATTTACACATTGCAACAGAAGCTGGTTTAAAGAGCATGCAAAGTAAATGGCTGGTTGTCCTACTGAGAGGTACGTAGTGGTAAGGAAGCAATTTGCAATGTAAGATTTATCATTTACCAGCAGTAGCTCTTGGCAAGGGGAATGAATCTATTTACAATAACAAATTAAAGGAGTTGTACTGGGTCAGACTCAACTTACATCCAGTTTCCAGCAGTCAGCAGCTGATATCTGAAGAACTGACAGTAAGGACATGATAAGCAGTTAAAACTGCACCCGTATGCCTGCCATGTATTCCCACTGCTCAGAGGCCGCTGATGCATTTTTTTTTTCTATGTGTATTTCTAATTGCTTTTAAGCCATGTAGAATTTTTATAACCTGTAACACCCCCCTGTTACTGTATTGTAAAGCAAGAGTGTAATTTTTTCCTGCATACACATAATGATTTTATATTTTCCTTCAGAAATTGCCTCTCAGCTGAGAAATCTCATCTATTCAGTCACTCGTGTAAACCTTTTGCTTAATTACTCTTCTCTGAATATTTCCTACTTCCAATACATCTTTTTAGAAGCGAGGGGACCAGAAATGCAGATTATTCAAATTGCAGGTCACTGTGGATTTATGAGTTGGGAAGAGATACTTTCTAATTTTGTTTAGACCTGAAAATTCCTAGCATCTACTTACTCTTTTTCAATTAAGCATTAAGTAACATTTTCACAGACCTACTGTAGTTCTCTTTTGTTGAGGAACTAATATTTAATAGCCAGGAAATTGGGTAGAAAACAGCCTAAAGCTGCCCATGGCAACCCACAGAACCCATTTATTCAATATGCCCGCAGAACAAGGTCTTCAAAAGTTGCTTGTTGGCAGGCATCTTCCCCTTAGTACTGCAGAAAAGTCACAGAAACTTGTAGAAGGAAAAGCATATTTGTAAGGGAAAACTTATCTGCAGCAAGAGATTACAGTGAGGGTGCCATGATCATGGCAGACTGCATCAGGGAATGAAGCATTAGTTACGTTCAGTACACTACAGAGGTATCAAGAAGACTTGGGGATATGGAGGCTTAAAATCTCGATTATATCTAAGTAATGAATAATCCCAAATAAAATCACTGTATTACAGATGCTTCCATGGATGTGGCAGGTGAACAAAGAAAAGTGTCCTTGCAATGAAAACCCCAAAGTAGGAGCAGGCCTGTGGTCCTCTCTGGAAATAAACAACACACTTGCCATGCTGAGTCATGTAGATCTGTCACCAAAGAAAAGAGGTAAGGCAGAAATTTGTAATGTTAGTGACAATGTGAAGTGAAACTTTAACTGTGCTGCCCTCTTCTGTGTATAAGATCAGGAAAAGGACATGAATTTTTAAATCTATATTTTCTTACACAGAAATATAGTTTTGTGTCTGAATGTGCATTTTATCATGCTTAGAGTAGCTGCATCTTGTATGAGGCTTCTGGTAGGGACTGATGGTGACCAGTCGTAAAACACAGCTGCCCTTTTGCTTCAGGTAATGAAACCTGATCTTGTTTACCATGTAGGGATAACTCAGTTTCCTTTTCACTTCAATATGGAAAAAGCTTGAAGCCAAGGAAAAAAACTCTCACTCCTGGAAAAGACTTATGAATTTGAATTAGAAAGGCTTTACGCTTCTTTGTAACCTGGTGCAGAATGTATGGTTGTCTTCTCCTGTGGTGAGTGATCTCATAGAATCATTAATGTAAAATGTGTAGGAATTTCCATGTGAAAGATTCTATCATCTGTTCCAGGAGAAACCCAGAATTTGTATGGCTGGAATGCACTTCTGTATAACAACAGTAAAAGGCATTCTTGTAAGTGTCTCATTTTCTGCTTTGCCTCTGCTGCTATTTAGGATAATCCTATGAAGACCTCCAACATTGTAAAGATAAACTAGAATTGTATGGACTTTGTTATTCTCACTTGTCAAAATTCTTTCTAGTCTTACTCTTGGGAAAAACAGTAATAATAATAAATTTCATTGTATGTCATTTTCTCTCCAAAGGTGTAAAATGATCAGCCCTAACTAGAGTAAGTGAAATCAAAACTCCAGTGCTAAAATTCATTCAGTCCTGGCTAGTCCCATATCAACCTATATCTAACTAAACCCAAATTGTTTTCAGTGAAGCAGATAAGATGAATGGAAGAAAACCAATTTCTTACTACTCTCAGATGAATACCGTGGTAGCACAGCCAGTGAATACCATGTACTGGAATCTTTGGAGAGGCAGCAGCAAGCTGTGTTGCTGGTCATGCTGGGAAAATGCCTGAGAATTATTGCTTATGCCCTCAATCTCTACATGTCTCATGCCTGGGGGCAGAGTTCCCTATTAGAGTTGTCTTTGACAGACATATTACGATAAAAATCTTTGGGCCTTAGGCATTTTAAGAGGCTGGTCTTAATTTTCCAAATAATCAAAGCTACCTATATTCAAAGAAGAACTTGGTGATCAACCCTTTGCTAATGAAATTCAGCAGTGTCTGCCTTTCATGGCATTTTTCCTGTTCCACAGTTTTGGAAATGAGTGCAGAATCAGGCCTTGACAGCTTTTTCCCTTCTCCAAGCTTACTCATAGCAGTAATTAGCATTAACCAAGCAATTGGCTCCTTGGCATCAGAGGTTTCACGTCAAAAGCAGCAAGTCTGTGATTTCACTGCCTGCTCACTCATCCAGGGCTGTGAGGTGGAAATGATCTTTATTCAACAATTTAGTTAAATTTAATTAATTAAAAAACAAACAAAAAAACAAAACAACAAAAAACAAAACAAACAAAAAAAAAAACAACCAACCCACCATAATGAGTATAGTAAACAGCATTTCTCCAAAGGCTCTTCACATTCACTCTACCCTCTGCATACTCCTTCTTTCATCATCTTTACCAAAGAAAGGGCTATATATTTGCATTACTCCTCTGCTCAAGCACATCAGCACCACCAGAATAATTTAGATGAACTACAGCCTTCTAAGGTAACAGCAGCATGTAGCTAGGCAACAAAAAAGAATATAGTATTTTTCAGGAAGGAGGGCTTTCCTAGATGATCTCATACGGATGCAGTGCTCTTTCCCTTATAAGAAGAAAACTGCTCATTGGAAAAATGAGTCTATCATCCTGTCATCATTAAGTCATATCGATATATAGGCTTCTGTTGATGAACTGGCAAAGAAAATTACGATGCATTGTATGCTGTATCTATTTATTTATCTATATTTGTTAAATATTTGTAATTTCATTTACGAAGGCTAAAAAACTGAAATGATTTTATGGCAGATTTCATTAACCACAATCCTAATTAGAATTGAATGCTTCAATAATTACTAAGTCAGCTGAAATAAATTGTGTGTCACTTCAGTAGGAATTGTCAGCACTGAAAAGGAGATTTTGCTAGTGGAGGAGGCACCTGGTTATGTGTCCTGTCTATGTAGTGACAGAATGGTTGTGAGTGGTGCACACTGGTTTTACGAGTCTGAAGGGGTTCAGGTAAGGGAAAACAAAAAAAATTGATCAGGACTAACAGGGGCAGCACAGGCACTATTTGCCTTCGTACCCCAAGCAGACAGGCAGGACGAGCACCTCCCCATCTGACAGGCGCGGTCACCTTCTGCTGGGTGAGGACAAAGTGGGAACTCTGGATAAAGACGTTTGCCCGATACTCAGTAGCGCTTGTGCTGGTAGGATCGCACGCTGACCCCCGTGAAATCATAGCACCATCTGCTGGGGTAATGCACACCGCGCATCGTTACAACCCGTGATCACATCTGAAGCTGTAAGCTGGTATTACTTTCAGCCATCCCATTTCTCTGTGTATCCTTTTCTGCATCACGCTGAGAATTTGTCTGTGCCTTAACTTTATTTGGCTTGCAGAGCTGCCATACCTTGTTTCACAGTCTGAGTGCAGCGATGCAGTCTGTGGCTGGGCCACGTCTCACACAGCAGTGCCAGGAGACCCAGCCAGGAAAACATCTTCCATGCAGCAGGGCAGTGCCTCTCCAGTTGTCCCTGTCTGTGGCAGCACAGGATCTGTGCATTGCTGCTTCTGTGGTACAGACCTGAATGCAGCTGATCAGACATTACATCAGTCTTGGCAGCTTTCACACATGTACTTCCTCTCTTTGGCATGTTACTGTATTTGTATATTCCAGAGTCTGTTCTGTGGGATTGTTTCCATTCTCTCTAGCTTGACCGAGCCACAATTCATACTGTGTTGTCTTTTTCATCTTATCTTTCTTTGTGCTGAAACAGGAGTTGTTCCATTAGGCATGCAAAAAAAACCCAACAACAACAACAAAAAAACCACCCCAATATGTTTGCAGTCAGTAAAAGGCCGAAGCAGCTTTGAAGAGGATGAAGACCACAATATTCATAACAAAGTCCCTGCAGTTTTAAAGGTTCAATAGAGCATATTGCGAGCATTGAACTTGTGTGATACATAGCTGATGTGTACAGATTAAAGCTAATACAATGTTTACTTTTCATTTGTAAAATTAAACAACTCAAATTTTTGCTAGGAATGGCCCAATATTCTTGTTACTAACAATAACAACTATACAAATATGACAAGGCTTCATCGCTTATATGCTTATAAAACAGGAGGAAAAAATAGAGTCTGTTGGCATTAACCATTTTTTTCATGCAAGCATTGCAAACTACAGGGTTGATTTATTTGTTACTTTGCAGAAGTGACGAAAACAAACACTGCTGCTTAGGCACCTTCACAATCCTAAGACAGATTATGTGCCAGCTCTTCCATGAGCAAAATATAGAGAACTGAAGCTGCTGGGCATCTTGGTGTTAAGCAAACTGCTGACATTGTACTGAGGTTATTTTGGTCAAAATCATGTGAGAGGCATCTGATGGGAACTCAGATGAGATTAATTGGGTAGATTAAAGAAAAAAAAAAGCTACAATAAAACATCATCCCAAGAAAAATCAAAATGGAGAGAACCACATACAGACAAGAGAGCTTGGCAATCCTGGAAGACTTGCTGGTCTCTGAGGTTTTCCTGCTAGGCTGTGTAGGCACGACTGCTGTCCACACTCACTGGCTGTTGTACTCATGATTTTGGAAAGGAGTGCATCTCCGTTGGTCAAATTAAAGCATTAATTCTACATAGGTAATTGTTGTAGTCTCTTCTCTCTTGTTGCTTTTTGTGGGGAATGGACTTGGACTTAATGACAGTGAGACAACAAAGACTTTCCTGTTCCCTGCTGCAATGTGAGGGAACTATGGGATGGGTTGTGTAATGACCCAGAAAGACAGGGCGGAGGGAAAACAAATCCAGGGTAGCACAGTGAGGTGTAGTATGGCCCTGTTATTTTCTTCTCTTTTTCTTATGCCTTCCCAAAACTCTAAGATAGCAGCTGCTCTCCACTGCCATGTTACATTTATTCCACTCACTTGATGGAAATTAACTTTTGTCCTGCTCTCTCCCTCTAGCCCTGAGTGAGAGCTGAACTAATGGCAGGATTCAGAGACTTGTGAAGAGCACAGCCTTGTCAACTGAAACTTGTGTGGGCTGCAACAACTCGTGAAAAGCACTGAAATCGAAGAAGCTACTTGTAAATTATGCTGCTGCTCTGATGCATCTGTACATCAAGGTGGGATAGCAGGGTCTCCAACGGTTCAACCAAGCAGGATGTCCTTATGACTGCAGACAGTGCTGTTCCTCTCGCCACAAAGTTAAGCAATGGAGGTAACCTGCCACAGAATGCAAAAGCTCCTTACAGGTAAAACATAAAAGAAATGCATGAACAGATGTTAAGAAATATGTAGAAAGTTTATAGAACTCAGTAGCATATATTCTGCAACTACTGAAACACTGAACAAAACGAGGGCTTTTTGCTACTTGTGTTTTGTGAAAATGTTATTTTCAGCATTTTCCTGAATGAAAAAAAAAAAGTCGTATGGTTTCTATTAAACATTGCTGGTAAATGGTTGTGAAATATACCAGCAGATTTAAACACTCTAGTCATAGCTTCAATTTCCTTTCTTTTTCCTCCTCTTTTTTGGTATTTTCCATAGAAACATTTGAAAGATTTTGCTATATTAATTTTGTTTTAAGGAAAAAACTTGTGTGCTTGCTCAGTCTGTATTTATGCCAAACAGTGCATTTCATGAGGGGGGAAGAGTGGTACAGCTATCTGCTTGACAGGCTAGAGGGAAATGTTTTTAACAACTATAAAAAAAACTACTGTAAAGCATGTTATAAATCAATGCTCCCAAGGGAAATTCTTATCAAAGCACTTAGTTATTACAAACACATCAATCTGAAGTACAGTTGGAAAACTAAAATAACTTCCTTTTTAATTAACTGTTGCCAATGTGTAGCACACATCACTCCATGCAAGGAAACACAAGAAATATTGTCCACTGAAATGCCAAGCTCTTCTTGTCACTTCTTCCAGGAAGAGATCAGTAACATTTCTGGATACGAAACTGCTGAGCTGCTTTGTAGCCACTGACAGTGAATTTGGGAGTTTGAGTCTTCAGAAGTTGCAGATACTGGGCAGCAGTGACAGCACGAGAGTAGCTAGAAAGAAGTCTGTTTCCTCCCAGGAAGTAGATGTGTGCGTGCAGGCCCGAGTATGTGCAGAGCAGCAGAGCCTGAGCCACACAAACTGTGTTGGTCTGCTGGCTCAAACACAAGGCAGGTTACTCCAGCATGCAACACAGCCAGCGACCCTAGAGAGGTTTTGTCACAGTGTTTGTAGATTAAGAGGAATTAACGCCACTCAGTCCTCCTGGAGGACTCCTCTCAGAGCCTAGGAGTGTGAAACAGATGTCTGCTTCTGGCATTTTTCCTGGACTTGAATGCGACTGTATTCCATGCAGCTGCTCTAAAGAGCCATATTTTGATGAAATGTGTCCTATTACAAAGCACTGGAGAGACTAAAGTTAGGGGGCTTTTTTGGGGGGGGAGGAAATGGGGAAAGAGCAGTCTGTGAAGAAACACTTGTAACAAATTAATGTTTTCTTCTCCCACTTACTCTTCGTACATCAGGCCCTAGATAGGGATCATTAAAGCTGGAAGATTTTTGCTGAAAGAGGCAGAACATCAGCATTCAGCAAGTACTCAAGCTGAGGGAGCCCCATACAGAAGGAGCTGCGATCTTCAGCCCAGTAACAACGGTTTGTCCCTTCTGTTGTTTCTCTCACCTAATCAATGTAACATCCACATCATTTAAAGAAACATACCAGATCCAAAGGTATGGAATTAACCATTCTTAAGTAGCAGGAGTCAGACCTTTTGTTTGACACTGTAATAAAGTGAAGGGACTTCACTTACTGAAAAGTCACCTCTGAAATATGTACTATGAACAACCTAACCACATACTGTTGCTTCTCTGAAAAAGTAAGCAGTGCAAAGTGCACCCATAGGATTACTGCGTAACATGGCTTGTAAGACAAGTGCTAACATCCAATAAATCATTTGTTACTATTATTATGTAGTGGTGAATGCTAAGAAGCAGATTAAATAAAGTATAATTTACTAATTCCTTCTCTGTTTCATACATAGGTTAAAGCACATCAAACATCTGTTTGCAGCCTACTCATCTTTCTATTACCCCCCATATTTGCATTCCTGTCTTCCACAAAATCTGGAAGGACAAGTTTCATTTTACTATTAAAAATAATTAAAAAAAATCAATATCAAGCATATTGCTTATGAGTTGCTTTCACATACTGCCAGAGCTGAAGTGGTGCAAAGGCTGGCAGTGTCAGGACTGATCAGTTCAGTGATTAGGCCTGAGAGACAAAGAGCATATTAGCAGGTGTGTCAATCTACTCCTTTATTAGCATTAATTTTACACAAATATTATTTTTATTTCCAGTTTCATTCAAACATCAAACCAAACGCTCATTACTCGAAGGATGCTAATCAAATAAGCAAATAAACGCTGCTGAAGAGTTGGCCTTCTACAGAAGCTCTATGTATACTGGGTGAGTAATTTCTAAAATGAGTAGATTTGGATTTGCTGCTGTTCTGTTTTCTTGTATATGTGAACTTCACCATTTCACTTGGTTTACCACTGCCTTAGTTTCCTGGCAACACAGACTAGCCTGTTCCAGCAGGCTGTGGTGTCTACATAATGTCCTTCATAAGGTTTACTGTTTCTGAAATAGCATCTGAGATTATCCAATACAAAATACTGAAACGTAAAGCATCACTATCGCACATCTAACTAACAAACAAAAAAAAACCCAACCAAGAACTCTATACTAATTACTCTGTAAATAACTGATAAACGTACTGCATAGCTGATACATAATATTGTACGTCTGCACCAAAATACCTGTCAGAACTATTACAAGCTGTTATTTTTCCAGTATTAGAAACAACTCTTAAGAAAGTTCAAATTAATAATGGAATTCTATCTGAATGAATTTTTATGCCACTAATCCCTACAGTTCAAATGCCATGTTTCGCAGACCAGAAGCGCAGGCTAAATATCACTGCTAAACCTGTATATTGTGCTTTAAACAAAGCAACATACAGTGAAATCACTAAGTTTGACACAGCTGTCAAACTCTACCAGGAAAGGTTTTCAGCAGAGTAGCTGGATCACTTCAACTGAAAACTACCAAAGACTTCCTCCTGTCAGGAGGGAGGAAGGAAAACAGAAAACAAAGAAACAAAAACCTCCTCAAAGATACTGCATTTGATACAAGTGATGAGTAAGGAAAAGCAAGTCACATTTTATACATATCTAAAGAGCCCTCCATACTGGCTGTTTAGATTAACATAATAATAATGATAAATTAGATGATTTAAAATTGCTTACAGTTATTGCCACACGTTTTACAATTTGGCACACAGGAATTTGTAGAAATCTTGATGTTTGAAGGAAAAACTGTGTTAGTCCAAAATAATCATATGAGTATAAAGATTTTAACTGCTACTTAACTTGGTATACTTGTGAAACCCAGTGCGCAAACTCCACTTCTAAAATGCAGTCTATAACTAGTCTTTAGACAGTAAGAAACCTGTTAAAAGCAAGTTCAACCAAATCTTTTTTAAAAGTTCAGAACACAAATCACACCAGTGCAATAATTAACAAACGGAAAAAGCCAATTTACATCACAGCTTTATAGCTACCAGCAAGCTAATTTTCTCCATGCTTTTTATTTTTTTGAAGAAGTAATGGAACACTTCTTTAAGGTAGTTTTATTTTGCTCATAGATACATGTAGCATTAGCAACACCACTTACATACAAAATTAATACAGCAGAATACTAATGGTTTCCTGATCAGGCAATTATGATCTAGCAGACAAACACTGATTTACCACTTCCAGTAAGTGAGAGTTTTCCAAAGCAGCTGCTACACGTTCTTTATCAGCAAGCTGTTTGTTAACTGCACAGAAAAAAATACCACAAGGAACTGGTCAAAATATTGGTACAAGAGGTCTTTTTAGAAGCACTTACCGTGAGACTAATAGTCTCAGTGTTGCTGTGGTACTCAGCTAAAATAACTCCACAGACGCTAACTATATCACAAAGCTGTGGTCTAAAGTCAAAGACGGCACATTAGCAGATCTCAAACCAGTAAGTTATTTATAATTCAGCAGCAGGAAGTTATGCATGTGTACGTGTAACAGGAGAGGAAATTTACCTCCTGCCTCCCCCCTCTTTCTGTGCCTTCCAGGTAAAGCAATGACTATTTGACAGCACAGGCTATCCAAGGAAACATTTAATCTAAGACACTGAGTACTTCTAAGTTTTGTTATTACACATTCCTGTTCTGTAACATCTCCCAGAAGGGGCTGGTTTGTGTACAGTCCCAGATGTTAAACAGCTATCTGCAGGTGGAGGAATCTATCTTCTCTCTAATTTTTGGATTAATAAAAGAAAACCACGCAACAGAGCAATAAAACACTTACCTGCATGTTCAGAGGCATGTGTTCCTGGTGTTATATGAACATCCATCTTAAAAAGTATGGAGAAAGAAAAAGGAGACAAGTCAACAAAACACTGGAAGCTCAAAGTATTTAATTAAGAAAACAGCAAAACAAAGCAACAACAAAAGACATTTCTGGCACGGACAGATGCTGTACCAGCAAGAATAAAACCAAGTCCAAAAGAACACCACATTTCCACCTGCATAAGCCTCCTTCAGGCAGAGGGCTAAAGCACTGCCATCTCCTTCTGTGCCCTCATGCCTTCACACCACAACCCCAATCAGCTGCGATGCCACCAGCACAGAACTGCAGCTCTGCTCTGCTAGTTTAGTTCCTTCCTCAGCCTGGAGCGTTTCCCTCCTCCATAATGTGGAGCAAAAAGTTTTAGTTGCTTTTGAACACCATCCGTCTCTTCTGCTTTCCAGAGTGACTTTACTACTCACCTTAAACCTCTCGGGCAGTGATCTGATCAGTTTCACTTTTATGGACAGGCCGATTAGCGTTGCCATGCTGCAGTGCGGGATGGTGGGTGTGAACTCCACTGCCACGGTGCTCTCGGCATCGTTCACCTGTTGGAAAACAAACCAACAGGTTTGTTGCTGTGCCCTGCCTGCAGTGCTCCATGCACAGCACTGCTCGGGTTTTCTTTGTTGAGGGCTTAAAGCACTATGTTTAAATGCAGTAAATTCACATAATACACGTCTTTTCACGGAAAAAAAAAAAAAAAAAAAAAAAAAAAAAAAAAAATGATAATGAAAAAACAAGGAGGAAAAACAACAACAGCAAAAATAAGACAGTCTCACTTTAACTCGAACTTGCTCGACGACATTCAGCTCCTCCAGGGTCAGGGGATGCTCGGGGTCGTTAATGGAGCGGATGAGATGTGCGGCGTTAAGGAAAGCGGGAAGGAGGCCGCCCACCCCCGCCCGCCCTCCCTGCCGGCAGGATATCGAAGATCTCCCGGTCGTCGATGGAGTCGGGCAGCTCGTCGTCCTCCTCCCGCGCCGTCACGGGCCGCTCCCCCGAGCGGCGGTAGATGAGCGGGTTGGCGTTCTCCAGCGGCACGCCGCCGCCTGGGCCCACCATGGCTGCGATGCCGGCGGGGCGGAAGGAGCCCGGACGCGATTCGCCGCCGGACCGGGCGGGGAGCTTTGGTGCGGAGTGCTCCCCCGTGGGCGATCGGTGGAACGGCACCGAAGCCTTGCGCAGCCGTGCGGAGGGCTGGCGTGTCGGCGCGGTGCTGAGCCCGGCAGGGAGAGGAGCTGTGCGGGGACGTGGTGCGGGGCTCTGAGGAGTTCGGTGCTGGGGAGGGTGGGGGAGAGTTGGGTCATGTTTTGCTTAAAGCAATGTCTTTCGTCCTTGAGTTAATTTGAAAAAGCAAACTGCGTGTAAAAAAAAAAAAATAATCACGTTGTTACAGTAAGTGGAGCGATCGGGGCTGTAGCGATGGTTTACAGCGCAGCTTCATTCACCCCTTGGTCTTAGGAGTTAGGCATTGACTTCTGTGTAAACACGCAGTATCTTGCTTCAGCTTCTCAGCCATATATTTGATTACTTATCACAAAAGAAAAGATTTGTTGTCACAAAAAAGAAACGATTGGTTTTTGTTGTTATCTCTCGAGTGACAGCTTGCTGGCTGCCTCGAGGTACGGTTGTGGGTAATGAAACACCGGTCGCCCGAGCCGCCCTGCTGGCAGCCGGCAGAAATAAAAGCTTTACTCCTATGTTACTCGCGACAGACGTTTGTGTAAGCAGCCCCGGCACAGCTGTGCCCGCGCACTGGGCAGCCGTTTGATCCCTGTCGCTGCTGCGGGATGCGGGTTGTGCACCAGGAGCTTTTCTGTGTGTGACTTGTAACGGTTGGCTCTGAATGGAACGGCAGCTTCAGTGCGCTTTCTGTTGGTATTGTTGCTGTGATAAACAGTTCTTTCAATTCAGAGCACTAATAAAAGTGAAAAAATGTTTTGTTTATTTTCTTAGATCACTTAAAATTAAATAGCAATCTATCTACTTGCTAATATGTCTGATACTGATTTTGTTCACAGAGAAGAGGGAGAAAAAGGATAAGGAGGTGATGACTCAGGCTGATGAGGTGAGTGAGGGCTGATAAGGTGGGATAGCCTAGAGCTCATTTGAGCTGATAGGTCTCACTTCCTGTTTTGGTATTTTGAGGAGGAACTATTTACAGTGAAAAAAGCATCTAAAGAAGAACCAACTGACAAATCTCAAGACAGGGTGAACTTACATGATGTATTACCCATCTGTTATGGAGAAGATGGCTCTGCAGCGTTTTTATTTTGGAGGTGAATGAAGTGAAAGCAGTGCAGCAGACCCTGGAGCAGTATGCTTTGCAACTGAGTTCTGGTGACACTGTTCATCTGGGAGATGTAAAATGAATCAAAGGTGGAGAAACACAGATCCATTATGTAGTGTTCTGCCTGCTGAAAACTGGGAGCTAGTGGAGCAGGCTAGACTTGTAGATCCAACTGTGAAGAAGACCTTGAGGCTTATCTGTTTAAGGCCAGTTACTTGCTTTGAGTGTTGTCATGCTCCTATGGACTACAGAACTTTTTGAGATTTCTCAGCCAAAAGGGGAAAACTGGGCAGTTTTGGATAGCCAGCTTATTTCCACCATAGGAAGCTATTTTGTAGTGAAGGAGTGGTCATGGTCTTTTCCTTGTCTTTTGAGGGAAGTACACGTACCATAAGGTGTTGGCCTTGCTTTCTAACCTACACTGAGGCTTCTCTGTTGCCTTGTGCAGTCACAGAAAAGATGCTGTAATCTGGCCCTCAGCTTTAATATCCCATTTATTTTTAAATATGCAAAAGGGTTAAAAAACTAATTTGGAAGTTGGAGGCCAGTTCTTGCAGAAAAGCACACATACCATGCTAATTGTGGTGCAGATATGCTAGCACTTGTTAAACCTTTGCAATAACTAAGCTTCCTTTCTTCCTTTCTTCCCAGTTATTTGTAATCTGCAAACACTTTTTGTTGTGTTTGTTTGTTTACAGGAATTTTAGTCAGTAGCTCTGAAACTCTTTAAAATTTCACTCCTTGTAGCACTTATAAGATTCAAAATATGAAGTAGTAAATATTTAAATGGGAATTGAGGTGTGTATAGGATTGTAGAAGTAAAAACAGATTAACTAGGATAAGACCTTTCATTGTTCACAGCTGATGCTGGGCCAAATCATCCATCATCAGGATCAGGTAATGACGGGTATGTTGCACTAAGAGATTGTATTTGTTCTCCATTTCAGTTACAGCTCTGAAAGTGCTTAATGCAGTGCATTTTCAGAAGGGAATTTAGCTGTGCTCCCTACTGAGAGCACAGTCAGCAGAGGCCTTTGTACCAGTGTCTTCCACATAAAAAACAGAAAATAATCTGGAATCCAACTTAGAGAAAAATTGCTCCTCAAACCCAGATTTCTTTGCTTTGTATCTTGGTTTGCAGTTTAACATTCACCACTTGTGGAACAGAAGGTGAGATGCAAGGTCTTTGATTTTGATTTTTGATATATATATATATTTTTAACTGCTGATGGGGAAGCTACTGCACTAATAAATTACAGGGTAGTAGTTTTCAAGAGCAGTACCTCTCTTCTATTTGTATTAGCAATCTGCAAAAGAATCCTAATAAGCTCAATGCAAAAGTGACTTTTTATTTTTAATGAAACCATCTTGAGATGTTTTTATGAAAATAATAAAAGGGTTTGTTTAATAAAAGGATATTGTTTTATTGAATGGTAAACTTAGAAGATACTGATGATTTTGTCTGTTACCGTTTGTTCTGAAATTGTTTTTAAGATTTATTATCTTGCACAGTGTGTAAACTGTGCCCTACCTAGCTCCTACTGTCATAAACAGAGCCAGCTGTGGAAGTTTTTGGTGAGGGGAGTGTCATTGCACATAAGTAAAATGAAAACTGAACAAAATTGAACAAGGTGAAATCTTCAAAATAAATTGTTTCCTTAAGAAAGCCTCAGTGAAAAATCTGATAATTATGGAAATGCAGATTAATTCTTTTGGCTTATGTGCTACTTAGGGCAGAAGGCTGCAGAACCAGAAGTGACTATTGCATGTGGACTGCTCAGAGGAAAACAAGCAAATGTGAAGGGAACAGACAGACTTGTAAATGTTTTCCTTGGGATTCCTTTTGCAAAAGCACCTGTTGGATCTTTGAGGTTTTCCCCACCTGAACCTCCTGACCCCTGGAATGATCTGAAAGATGCAACTTCTTACCCGCTGCTGTGAGAGCTGTTCATTTAACTTGTGTGTATTGTACTTGCTCATATTTGTCAGTACTGTCATATTTGTTAGTGTACGATTGTTAGTGTATGATTTTCATTAAGGTACTTGGATTGACTGGCAGTGGGATATTTAATAAGAACTGTGGGATTAGGAAACATAAGGATTCCTGTAAGTAACAGAGAGTTCAAGTGCCAAGTGGAAATTCAGCCTGATAAAGAAAATGTGTTTTGTCTATCATTGGTACATAGCTAATATTTCAGTTTTATTACTAATAATTATGCTTTCTTTCTTTCTTTTGTGAAGATGTCCTCAAGATTTGACCATGTTGAAAAAAGCTGAAAAAAGTTACAAAGAAGAACACATTCAATTTCGGACTTCTGAGGACTGCTTGTATCTAAATGGTTATAGCCCTGCAGACAAGAAGAACAAATTACCTGTATGTAAACCCCTTGTGAAACCTTGTGATCTACAATGTCTGCTTTTAATCCTGACTCCTAAGCCACTTAATTGCTTTTGAAAATGTTGTCCTGCATAAGCAGGACTAATATGCAAAATTCACAATCCATAAACATGAAATTAAGCTCCCATTGACTTTCAGTGATTCGAAGTTATTAATTCTCTGTTGTATTCTCTTCTCATATGAAACCTGCCAACCAATGCATAATGTATGTCTCACCCTTTTTTCTCAAAGGTTGTGGTGTGGATCCATGGAGGCAATTTTGTATTTGGTGGTGCTTCAAGGTACAATGGTTCAGCACTTTCAGCCTGCGAGAATATTGTAGTGGTAGTAATAATTCAGTACAGACTTGGACTCCTTGGATTTTTCAAGTAAGATGAACCATTTCACTTTTTACTACATACTTTTTGTTTTGCTTAGAGCATAAATGGTTTATGTGGTTAAGTGGTTGAGTGGTAAGACCTTTCCTTGGCCAAATTGCACAAACTGTAAGTTGGCAGTTAATTTTATTTTGGTATAAGAAATATTACTCTTCCTGAGATGTTAGCTTATACTGCTTTTCTTTCAGTACTGGTGATGCACATGCTCGTGGGAACTGGGCATTTTTGGATCAAGCAGAAACTCTTCAGTGGGTCTGAGAAAATATTGAACACTTTGGTGGGGATCCAGGATCAGTCACACTCTTTGGTGTATCTGCGGGATCTTGCTGTGTTTTTGCACATGTAAGTATGCAGTAGATAACTAAAATGTCTTTTAAAATGTTCAAAAGTAAACTCAATTACTGTAACATTTAAATGCTTAATCTAGTTTTTGAAAAGAAGATTAAAGGTACTTTGTTCTAAGTAAGTCTGATCACTTTCCCCAAAAGTGTATTTCCACACTGATTGCAGCAATCTAGCTGAGCAAGTTGTTATGAGATAAGGACCATGATGCAGAATGAATGTTTTCTGTTCCTCCCTTTTTAGCAGGTTTTATCTACTTTGTTGTGAGAATCCTTCTTTGTTTTTTTTTTTTTTTTTTTTTTTTTGCTCAAAGCTTGCTTCCTGAGGTTTTTCTTGTGATAAGACTTGTCAAGGAGGCAACTGATGGGTGCTAACTGTGTGACAATCGTTATTGCTTTGGGAACATTTGAAAGCCCCTTCCCCCCCAGAGCTGCTTGCTCTGTAGAAGAGCGGAAGAGAGTGCTCAGCAGTGTTCACTGGTGGAAGATCTGGCCTGTGGCCAAACCGCTCCAGCTTGGTATGGGAGGCTGGGGGATGATACCATTGTATCCTGCGAAGGCAAGATGCAAGTTGGTGCCTCCCTGCTTCCTCTTATCTGCTGGCAAGGCCAGAAAGATAAGAACAAAGGAGGTTCCTGCTGAGATCCCAGAGCCAGAAGCTGCCACCGCAAGGAGAACTGACTCAACCACCTTGGGTTTGAGCTGTCACTCAAAGGAGAGCTGACTCGACCACTTTGGATTTGAGCTGTCACTCCAAAAACAGCTGACTCAACCACTTTGAAGCATTGAAAAAGGGCCATCATCACCATGGTTGTGGTGGTCGTTGTCAACAGGATAACTGCCTGACGACCCACTGCTACTGAAGATCAAAGACTGAACTATGAACCTCGCTGGATCCATGGTGGTGACTATGTCCCTCTTGCTGCCTATAAAGACCCCTTGCTTCTTCTTTCCTATCTTTTCTATCACCCTCCTTCCTTTCCCCATTACCCTAATTCATAATAGTGTCCGTCCTTCCCTTCCCCATTTCCCTGATTAAGATTTGTAATAAACTGGTCGGACCAACATTTGAACCGTTGCTTCTTAATCTCACGCCGGGTATAGAGATAATAAAAGAACCTCCTCTCCCTCCTATAAATTGGAGCGAGACATTTGTCTAAGGGTCTCTTTCATAAAGCAATATTAGAGAGTGGAGTTCTAATTCCCTCTAATAAAGATTTACTTCTTTCAGCAGGTCTTAAGGTAGGATCATTTTTGCATTTTAAAGCTTCCATAATGAACAGTATTTTTAATATCTGATTATTTGGTTAAAAGAAGAGGAAAATCTGATTGCATATTATGCAAACAAGTTGATTAGGGTTATTTTTCAAGGCATATGTATGGATAAATAGATTAGCACTAAGTAAGATTTTAATTCAAATAGTCTGTATATTTTCAATCTTACTGTGTTCATTTGATGTTGGAAATAGGTTATACAGTTATGAGATTATAATGTTTGTGGGTAGATTTAAGTATTTTCAGTTACACATACGCCTAGCTAGGCATATGTCCAATTTCATGCACACTGTCACTTACATAATAATGGTTGAATGTGTTATGGGACATTTAATTAGAAGAAGCACTCAGTTTTTATTCAGCTATGGGCTTTTTTGGAGACTCTTAGTTTGAAGTAAAGCAAACAAAACAGAACAAACAAAACACCTGGAAATGAAAGCACCTTTCTTGTTTCTCTGCCTGAAGCTGTAGGTAGTCATAATTTGAAACTCACAAGCTGATTCTCTGGACTTCCTTGTCTTGATTTTTGTTATAATTTCATGCTATCTCTACAGCAAGATTGGTTGTATATCAGTGAACAGAAATATAGCACAAAAGAGAAGTACAAAAGAATTATTTGTCTTAATGATCTAACTGTAGGATCTCTAGTAAAATCAAGTACTTGAAGATCTATCAAGCTCACCTAAACTAGGCCTTATATAAAACAACAGTACTGTGTACAGTGATCTTATGCATATAAATTCCTTAAAGACTAATTCATAGCTAACAGTTCTTGTCTTTGTTAACAATTTTCTGAAAATTGCAAATTTTAAGTGTGAGACCAGCAGTTCACTCACACTAATAAACTGCTTGAGGAACCGGGAAGCGATGGATAGTCTTTAACAGTACAGTAAGTGAAACTTTACTTAGTAACATATTTTTTTTTTGATGGCACACTTGCAGAACTTCAGATCAGCTTCTGATCAGTGTTAATAATTGACCTGCTCCAAAGTTGATTTTTCTGAATTTTTGTCAAAGTACACCCAAATATGCAAATTATCTCACAGGCATTTTCTTTAGTTAAGACTTTTTTTAGTGAAGTGTCACAGCAACTGTAAAGTTGTGTGCAAGGCTCAAACATAAATATACCTGAATGTCAGTTGTAAACAGTACAGGATCAGAAAACCATTAAATTATATCTTAACGTACCCCAGCCAGGCTAGCATTTCATACTGTTGTGAAAAACTAATTGTGTGTTACAGTGGCCATAGGTACCCTGATTTCCTAAAGGAAATGACCTAAAGGTGCAGGAAAGCACCTGGAACGCTAAATGTGGGTGTTTTATTATGTGACTTGAAGGAAAAAGGGAAAATACTATTAACAAGTAACTTGATGTTTTTTTCTACTCCTTGAGGAAATCCCATTTCTACCCTTAGTTTTGGATGGAGTATTTCTGCATAAGTCACCTGAAGATACATTGGCTGGAAAAGAATTAAACATGGTCCTGTTTATGATAGGAGTCAGCAATAATGAATTTGGCTGGAATATTAGATCTGTAATTTAATATCTGTTTTTCATTTTTTGGAATGTTGGTATTAAATACTGCAGGTGATTCTGAGAAGAGTGGGGGAGGTCTTTGCTTGTCGGACACTTTTTACGTATGCACTGTTAGGAATACATACAAAGCAAATTTTGCTTTCATTCTGATTTTGTAGAGACCCAGAACCAGTTGGTCACAAAGCAGTAAGACAGGCTCCATCCTGCATGCTCAACTGTCAATATTATATAGTATTTTCCAGAAAATGTAATGCCTTAACCAGGCAGAGAAAGTGAAAAATAATGCTGCAGTCATGAGCTTATTACTTTCCAAAAATAAAAACAATCCTTTCCCCCACAACAAACACACAGGTGTTACCCGTGCAGTATTCAGGATCAATACACTGGACATTTAAAAATGCTGTACTGATCACTGTAAACATTTTACCTCTTACGCTGTGAGCTCTAATGAGTGCTGTTTGTGTTGCTGCCCCTGTATTTGTTGTTATCATGCAATAAGATTTGTTGGTTAAACATCTCAGATGGGAGTGGAGTACAGGTATCTCACTTGCACTCTTTCACGTGTGAATTCTATGGGTAACTTCAAGAGAACAGTTGCTATACAGTGCAGCAAAATGTGGGGGATCGATTTGTCCTGTCTTTCTTGTCCTCTTAATTTTATAAGTATTCATGCTTGGCTTTGTAATGCAAAGCATTTGTTCTGAATGTATGTAGTATTCGTGAGTCTCTGGGAGAGGGGCTGCCAGTGATCCAAACAGGATCTCCCCTACCTGAGGGAAAATAAGCCTTTGAGACACAACAAGCTTGTTGCTTAATTTTGCCCTAATGCTCCCCGGTCTTGCAAATCTCTTAACAATGTGTATTGATTTAAGGATAAAGTACATAATTAGAATGGCTGATGTAGTAACTTCCATGAATGAAACATATGCTGTGGTAAATACAAGCTTTTGAAGACAGTTCCTGCATTTTTGCATATGATATGTTGCTTCAGAAATAAATATGAGTAGTAATAAAGTGGAATAAAGTTATTAAAATATGAAACTCTGGAGAAGTTAAATGGCTCTAGCAACATCTTTTTTTCTGTGCAGACGTCAACAGTACCAGCTTTGAGAGATGTGGGACATAAAAAATCAATCACTTCAGCTTTAGAGTTTCTACTACCAATGATGGTAAGAATTGCTGCACTAATCTAAGAAGTAAAACCTTGTTTTGGTGCATATCCCAGATTTGTGAAGTTTAGTGTTCTCTAATTTTCTGCTTGTGCATAGTGTTACTAATGCTCAAGGTAACGTTACAGTTTGAGGAGAATGCTGGCAAAGCTGGCAGGGCTGCAGTGTATGGAGCTAATCAGAAGTAGGCTTGAGTCAGGCCTACATTCTGGGAAATACCTTTCTTCTTCAAGAAATCTGAACCAACATTTTTGTGTTATGCATTTGTATGTAGGACTACTGTAATGATGCCCTTACACTATTTTATATCCAGTCTCCTGCTTATTGGGTTTCAAGGCAGGTTTTTTCAGTAAATTAAATATAGCTTTTTAAGTAGTTACTGAAAATATTTTGCACTCTTTGTTTTGAACTGTATCTGTCAAACAGTAAATTGTAACACTAACGACCTAAGCTGTGTTTAGAAATCCTGATGGTCTTGCCTTGTAGCCTACTAGTCTACACATCTTTCAAGAACTCAAACTTGTTACTCCTGTCTCTTTTCTCCTGAAGAAAACAGATGCCAAAGGCATTGTCAGGATGGGTGAAATTCCAAACTTCTGAAAAATAATTGATTCCTAAGGAGTTTTAAATCATATAACTCTGTTGTAAATTTTATCTGAAACATGTTTGTTTTGTTTTGCTTTTCACAAAAAAAACATCAATGAGTTTTGTTTGCCATCATGCTTTTCCATCGGTATGGGTGCTGTCCTTTACTCTTCTACCTTTGCGGAATCTCTGAAGTTCAAAACCTGACATTTTCAGCAGCTAATTGAAAGTGATAGTTTTTCCATGTTTCCACCTCCCTCCCCCCCTTTTTTTTAAATTTGTTTAGAATTTGCCAGCAGAATTGTTGTCTGTAATAATGGATGAATATCTGGAAAACACAAATGATCCTGCTGAGCTACAGGACCAATTTCTGGAATTGCTGGGGGATTTCATTATTGTCATACCATCCATTAAAGCACTGAGTTATTACCGGGGTGAGACAATGAACACTCTCTTTAAAACAGTCTCAAAACAGGACACTCAAACTTTTCACTACAGGCTGAATTAAATGGTATAGAAACAAATCCTGTTGTGCAGGTAACCCTTCTTGAAATTCCCACTGGGAACTTTGAGAATGAAGTGTGATTCAGGGGTACAGAACCACATCAAGCAAATGATGTCTTTACTTTTGCACTTGGGCTTATGGTTGCAGTACACTGAGATAAGAAAAGGATAACACAAGTAGATGTTTGCTGTGTGAATTACAGAAGCTTAAAAATTGAAGGAACCTGGAATTTCCCTTTTAGCCCACTACTGCTTCAGAAGTCAGCAGCTCTGCAGTGTAGAAGATTTATGACATCTAAGCATAGGCAAGGCACACCAAAATATGCAGAACTGGGAAATAACTGGATTTTGTTTTCTATCTGTATTCCCAAGGTGAATTTTTCATCTTCTTAATACTATGCATTCTTCATTTTTAATTAAAGATACAAATATGTATTTGGGAGTAGTGTTACATTCAGAAATGTGCCCAGTTGCCTGTAAAGCATTGTACATATTTAAAGCAACACTAACATGCTTCTCCTGCAACTCTCTAAATGTGACGTCTTCTAGATTCTGGAGCGCCTACTACTTCTTTGAGTATCAGCATCGTTCCACTTTATACTGGGATACTAAACCAGAGTATGTGAAAGCTGATCGTGGAGATGAAGTTGGCTTTGTCTTTGGAGGACCTTATCTGGCAGGTGACATAAGCCTGTGGGGTAAGAAATTAAATATCAGGCTTTGTTTATAAATTACTCTCGCAGTACTGACATTATTCAGTATTGGTACTTCCATTTTAATCCAGTTGTAGTGCACATGCTAGCAGTGAGATCAAGATGTATCTCTCTCTTTCCTTTGAATTTGTTCAGCATTACTATATTCTCCATCCTTTATCACAGGTTGCTGTTTCTGAAGTGCAAGAAGTTACATACGCTGCAAACAATTAAGAAAATGAAATTTGTAATAAGCTTTCTGACATTATACTGATACTATTAATTTATTTTTAAGTCAAAGCTCTGCGGCAAATTCATTGAGGGAAAGATTGATTAAATCATCTCTAGTGGGAGATGAGCAGAGTGCTCAGAAAGCAGGAAATCTACCCTGTTTCCTTTGCTTGAGGTATTTCAAGTAATGCGTCCTCTTCTCTGAGAAATCTGACTGGCTTTCAGGCTTCAGAGAATGGGTTGCAGTCTGTTCTGCTGAGTGTTCCAGCTTGTGTTCATTAGAGCAAGGCTGGAAGTCCTGTTTCATTTCTGAATGAAGGTCTAAGAACTAGGTTAAAGTGTTTCATTCCATGACTCAGTTAATAAGTCATCTTTTAAAAAAAATTGAACTGGTGCATTGAGAAATAATTAAGAGCATGCTTGCCAAATTGCCTTTGCCATAACAGTTTGGGCATTCTTGTAGGATTTTGGAATCATGAGCTCTGCTTGCTGCAGGCAGAATGCATTGTTGCCACAGCACAAATAAATGTGCTGATCACTGAATGTTTAAGTAAAAGGTGTCACCCTCCTCAGAAATATTGTAAATCCAGTACTTGTCACTGGTTGCATATGCCTAATACAGTAATACTCAGAAAGCAGTCTTTTCTTTCTCATGAAACAGATTGGGTACAGTTCTCATTTTGAAAGAAAAAGCCAGGAATATATAAAGTTGAATTTTTTCTGCATTTATTTTTTTCATTTTCACAACAGCTAATAGTCTTTTTCAAAGTTCATGCAAACTGAAGTATTTCCTTTTACTCCGATGAACTTTAGAGTAATCCAGCTGTGTTGTAAAAAGCATGAATTAATCTGTTACCAGAGTCTTTTGATTTAACTTAGATTTTGCATCTACTTTTTACATATAATACCTTGTTCTTAGAGAACAACTAAAGAACATCGTACAGTTCTGACTACCCACCTTTGTAAGGAAAGAATTCTCTTGTGTGATATGTTGAGGTGTATTTACATCTGGTCATACATGTAACTGAT